AGGTTCGGCCTGCTTCTGGTCATTATTGCCACTGTGTTTTGGAAGAATCGTTGGCAAATTTCATAGGTGGTTGAAAGAAACCAAGAGCCTGATGCCCAGAGTTTTTTGGGCCTGTGAGAGAACATGCTGACAAGCTAATATATATATATATATATATATATTAATACACATACTACATGCATGCACACACACCTGGCACATGGGTGGGTGTGGGCGAACAGCTGGAACCCGACATTTCGAAAACAACACAACCATGCCTGTTTCATTGTCCTGTTGGTCACACAGACACCATGAAATTCAGCTTGGAATGCCAGTTGCTGCAGGCTTCTAAAGAGTGGAGCTCTTAAAGGTAGGATTCCCAGGGCGTCTTGGCCATCCCCACAGATTTGCTCATGTCAAGGGCCGTCAGCTGAGGGATTTTCATGGCATGGTAACCATCAAGATTAAGGACCTCCCACTATTCATAAATCTCCCCGGGCCCACCTCAACTTCCCACCTGAAACCCCCCAAAAGCCCTAAATTGCCTTAAATTTGAAACTAGAAACCCTAGCCCAGACCCTAGTACTACACCTCTAAAGTCTACCACAGGCATCATCTCTGAAGGAACCTGCAGGTAAGCTCGGCAACCAGTTCGTCCTAAGAAGAGGCCTGGAGCACTAGGACAGCACACAGCAATGCAGGCACTGGGATAGTGCACCACAGAGGAGCAACAACAGGCGCTGCGATAGCGCAAATCAAATTTAGAGGCACTGTGATAGTGCAAAAACAAGAGGCACTGCGATAGTGCAGAAAGAAGTGCTGTGACAGCACGGATGCAACAGGCGCTGTGATAGCGCAAAGAGGCGCTGCGATAATTTCCAAGCCTCCCCTCCCCTCCCCTCCCCTCCCCTCCCACCCCTCCCCTTCCCCTCTCCCCTCCCCCTCCCCTCCCACCCCTCCCTCCCCCCTCCCCTCCCACCCCTCCCTCCCCTCTCCCCTCCCCTCCCCTCCCCTCCCCTCCCTTTTTCACCGCTTGCCAAACACAGCATTTCTTCTGAGGCTATGCCAGCATCAGCACGGTCAGCAGTGCAGAGCCCCGACCTCGGATGCAGCAGTTTCGATACGAAGTTAGGATAGAACCATTCCAGAATTTGAACTTGGCAATGCAGCATGATGTTCCACAGTCATGTGTCGGACATGCCAGTGGTTCTGAAGCAGAGTTTACCAGGACCATGACTGCAGATTCATGTCGGAGCCCAGGCCAGATCTCGATGAACTGCTGGGACCTTGGCAACCGCAGCTTATAGCACATGCAAAGCTGAGTAATTCGTTGTTGCTAGCAGCAGGTGCACACACACATACACACCTACACAATCTCGATCTCACTGACCGTGCTTGTTTGACTTTTCCAGCCGGCAGCTGCAGCTTCGTGAATCGGCCAGCCGGCAGCTGCAGCTTCGTGAATCGGCTGACAGACCTCAGAATCCCACTCCAGAGCAACTTGTTGTTCAGTCTGTGTCGTGTGAGAACTACCGCATAATGAGGTCCCTGCACTGGCAGTGAAAACTTCGTGTCATGGCCTTGATTTGCGGGACACCCCTCAACTGTTGAAGCTTTTGCGGCAAGCTGAACATACACGTGTGCTGGCTGCATGTGCTAGGGTCCCTGCCTGTCACTGTGAGTCTGAGCGCTTTCGTTTTGATCGGACCTTGTTGCAACATAACATACACCACTGACTTGATCTTCATGTATGCTTCTGAGTCTCCTGCGTCTGACGACTCTGAGTCACTCTGTCTCGACGCCTGGGCAGGCACCATCTAGACATCCAGTCTGTCTGAGCTCTCTGATTCAGGCAGCCGCCACTTCGGTGGTCGAGGATCGCTCGGAGGCCTGAGGGTGAGCAATGAAGTAGGACTGATACCCAATGCCAACTTGAGTGGGGCCACTGCATTTGCCGGTGACGTGGGTGATGGCTCCTCTGCCTCTGCTGCCTACAGATCAGGTTGTTGCAAGGCACATAAGCTACTATGGAGTGGGAGTAGAATGTATGGAGCCTCAGTCTTCATCTCCTTGGCATTGGAAAGAACTTTCAAAGCGTCTGAGACCAAAGCCTGGCAGTGAAGTCTGAGTTGAGCAGTCGGTAATGCAAAAGCAAACATTGTGCAATTTCCTGATGTGTGTCTGGGGCCTGCGATTCTTTGATCTCATGCTGGAGGACTTGAATCTCATCATCCTGCCAGATGCAAAAGCTGTCGGAGCCCCAATCAGTCATGTTGCTCGGCCTTCCGGGCCAGCAGAGTGTTGCACCGCACCAGCATGTCGTTTTCCACCATGCGTGCAACTTCCTGACATAGCAAAGTGAACGAAGCAGTCCAACTCACTAACTAACAATAAATCCGGCCTTCCTAGCATGCTTCATGGCATGTGCTTCGAGTTTCCACTTGGCCTTGTTCTCCTAGCAGCACATCACAGTAACTGTGAAAGCAAGATCGTGTTCACTGCTTGCCTGGATTGCACGGAGATCTTTGTCCTTCTGCTGCAGCGCTGCCTGTGACAGTTCTGCAACATATGCTAGATTGCATTCACTTTGTCTTGACCCGCCTGGGCTTCCTTGAGCTCTTTGTCTTTTTCGTCGATGCACGCCTGTCAAAATGAAATTCTTCAACATACGGTAGATTGTATGGACCCGGAATGCTTTCCTGGGCTGCACGGAGTTCCTTCTCTTTCGCCTTCAGGGAAGAATGTGGACACTGTGACACTTCTGCATTGCATTCACTTTGTCTTGACCCGCCTGGGCTTCCTTCAGCTCTTTGTCCTTTTCGTCACTGCACGCCTGTCAAAATGAAATTCTCCAACATACGGTAGATTGTATGGACCCGGAATGCTTTCCTGGGCTGCATGGAGTTCCTTCTCTTTCGCCGTCAGGGAAGCCTGTGGACACTGTGACACTTCTGCAGTGCACAACTTGCCAACAACGAACCCCTAATCGCCTCCAGGCTTGTGACCATCGTTTTGCAATCCTCAGAAAAGGGCTTGCAGGAAGAATGGCCTGTGATTGTGAACGGCTACCATGCCTCAAGCTGCTTTTTATAGTCGGCTTTCGAAGTTTCAAGGACCTGGAAGGAACCACAAACTGAATGAGCTTCAAACTGTGTGGAAACCGGGCAGTAAAGGCCTCCTCTGCCGCCTTGGCCGCCATGAGGTCCAGATTCGCTTGGCGCAGTCGGCCCTGGAAACAAGCAAGGCATTGGACACAAGTTTCACTTGCACAACACCAACACAAACTAGTGGCCTCCGCCATCTCGGCCCTCTGCTTGTAGTCTTTGTTGAAGCCCTGCCCAAGATAAGGTTTGTTCTGGGGACCGCGAATGATAGGATTTCCCTGCCCGGCCCTGCCTGGCACAGAGTCAGCTCGCGGACCGCATGATCCCCTTCGGACTGAGCCGTCGCCAGCCGTGCTTTGAGATCCTTTATGTCTCTCAAAAGCGGAGCCCTGATCGCCTCACGCTCAGCCTGGGTCCGTGTCCTCTCCTGGGTTCCGTCCTCGAACCTGGCACGCAGGGCCATCCCGCCCTGCCTGCCCTTTGCCTGCACCGTCGTCCTCCTTCCACCACCTTTACCCTTTCCCACTTCTTCTCCTTGCTCCTCACCTTCATCCCAGGAGCCACCATAGCCGTAGTCCCAACCGTCCCAGCTCGACCCATACTCCCAGCTCGACGACCCGGCTTGCCCGCGTCCGGACATGGCTTGTCAGCGAGGGCGAGGCTACTTGTTCCTATGTGCAACTGTGATGGATTTAAACTTCTGCATATAGTTGACCATCGATGACAAGGGCCCAAGAACCTCACCGCTCGATGAAGCTGCCATGATCTTTGTAGTTCATGAACTCAGAAACCTTCTTGAGCCTTTGGTGTGCAGCACAGGACAGTGCTTGCTGCATGTTGTTGCGCCAACAGAATCCACTTCAGTGATGCACCTTTCTTGACAAAACTATGCACTCTGAGGCCTGAGCACTCTGATCTTCGGCTTTCATTGAAGGCTGGCCTGCCGGTTGAATCAGTGTCTTTTCTACTTCGATATAGTCGCTGCATCTTCATGTGTGTGTGCGCTTTCACAGCGCCTGATGTCTTTCCGACAGAAAATAAGATGCACCATGCGCTATCACAGCGCCAGAATGCTTAGCTGAGCTGTGATTTCTTTCCGACAGCAAATAACATGCACCATGCGCTATCACAGCGCCAGAAAGCTTAACTGACAGCCTACTACCCACCTTTGATGCAGGCAAGCCTTCTGGATGTCCATGATTTGCGGCAACTCCTCTGCAGTAGAATGTGGGGAAGGGAGGGTGGCTGCATTGTGTCTCGAAAAACGCCTGGGCGTCTCGAAATCATGGGTGGCGGTTCGAAAACTTAGGTTTACGACACCCTGTTAATTATCCCTGCTCTCGTTCCAAGCATGTTCGATCAACAGCATTGCAGAAGCTCTTTAACATGTGTGTCTACTTCCTGGGAAGCAATGCACCATGATAAGACAGCATGCTCTACCAGTAAATTTGTGAGCTTGCCACAAGCCATCCTAGCCAGGCCTTAAACACTTGTATGGGGCGGAAGTCACTTGAATAGCATGTCCCCAGAATGTTTACACAAATCGCACATTGCATTCGCACCGACACACACACACACACTTTCTGCATGAGGCCGGCAGGTCATCGAAACTTTGCCATCATGGGCCATGTTGCCTCTGGCAGATGAGGAAACAGCTCATTCCTGGACAACATGCTCGGGGGAAGCATGCTGCCAGCGGCTTCAAACCATGGCAGGGGTGACTTCTCCGGCTGATAACTTCCTGATGCCAACTTCTTCAGAGCATCAGAGCCGGCTCCCCGGCTGAAGGGCGCCCTCTCCACCACACCTGCTAGCTTTATCAAATCCTTTCGCCTCTGGTCGGACACGGTTTGACGCGGCACCAGGGGAATGTCCTGGAAAGGAGGAAGTCTGCCGAGGCGACTGTGTGGAAGAACCAAGACCGGAGGATGGGTGTCCTTGTCCAGCATCCTGCTTTTGCAGACTACAAACACATCTTTGGTATCACCTTCTTTGCTTGCACGTGGAAGTCTTGACATCTCCAAAGCTGTCAGGTCCATTCGCCTTTTGTAGATGTACGAATGAGGAACGTCCTGCAGATGATCTTGTCCTTTTGGCTTCCTCGGCATGAATGCACTGGATAGCTTGATTCCCATTGTGGACAGCCAGTCTTCGTAGGCACGGATATCCGAGCTGTCCTGCACCAGAAGTGCCTCGCCGCAGTTTTCAGCTCGGGCCTGCATTGCGGCTTGCATGATGTCTAGAACATCCTGCAGACAATCAAAACTTGACCTTCGCAGCACCGGTAGAAACTCTGCAAAAAGAGCGTCGATATCCTCGTGAGTGTGACCACGAACTAGGTAGTTTGCGGTCACAGTCTGCATCTTTCCCGCTGCGACCAGATACGAAAAGTACAAGTGGGTAGTCGAGTTTTTCGAGAAGCTGCAAGTATTATCTGACTGCAGCACCAAGTGGCTTGGTGGATCGCCCTTCTCGGAAATTTTCTGCACAACACGGTTGATGATTTCCACCAAGTGATCGGCTCCGTGCTTGACTGACTCCTGGGTTCACAGATCGAACACACAGTACAATCACTGAAACATGGGGCATCAGGGGCACACAACGACATCAATCTTGTTCACAACTGGCCGGGTCTCATCATCAGAGACGAAGATGCCCAAGCAATGGCCATGGCACATTGCAGCAGTCAACACAAAGCGAGGTCGATGAAGCCCCTCAACTGATTTGGGAAGGCGATCGTAGTTCATCTTCGGGTATGCAAATTTGGCCTTGTCCATAGAGTCACAAACAAGACTCAGCAGTCCAGCTTTTGCACGGGATGCATACCGGATGTGATAGTAGAGAAGCCTGTCAGCATACTGGCAGGCCAAGTGTGCACGCCATGCAGCTGCATGGCGCACACGTTCATGCAAAGGTAAACCCTGACTGTGCAGCAGCTGTTTTGCCTCCCAGCAGACAGTGCATTCGGCATGAGATGATTTCTGTCTGAAATCTAGCACTTGCTTGTACCAGTATTGGTGCCACACACGCATAAATGTGCTCCATGAAGGGATCTGGAACTGCGAATCGGAATCTGAACGTTCATGTGGCTGCAGCTGTGCACGCTGGGCTTGACACCAAGCCAGAAACTGATACCAGAGGTCAGATATCTGACCTGGTGGCAAAAACCGGAGGGGCGCTTGCATTCTGCCATCACCCTTGCCAAAAAGTGCAACAACCCGCTCGGGGATTGAAGTGTCCAAGTTCCACAGAAACGACTTCTGGAAAGTCTCCGAGGGAGCTGCAGATTGTGAGCCATCTGTGTCCAATGCTTGCTCAGCAAAGCTTGTGCCATCCCCTTGCATGACCTCAGGCAATGTTTCGGCAGCACTCATGTACTGGTCCATAAGGAAATGATGGACAATGTCCTGCTGAGGGTGTGGACGGGGGCGAGTTGGCATATTGTCCAAACCACTTTTGCGAAGGTCGGGATCCCCATGCATCATTCGCAGTACAGTGGTGGGGGAATGGCCCAGCAGTCGGCAAAAAGCCCTGAAGCAGACATCCCGACCATCAAGCTGCCATTGTTTCCGCTTCATTGCAGAATTTGTGGTCTCCATGTCACGTACCTGCTCACTGCACTTCTCACCATTGAACATGTTGAACAAAACCTGGTACTGTGTGGCCGTCGAAAGGTCATGCCATGCAGAAGCCAAAACCTTAACCTGCTTCACCGAGAACTTCGTCATGCAATTCTTCTTGCATCCGCACTTGCCTCGTAGTGCTTGTGTGATCCTATCAATGTCTTTCCCATGAGCACTGTAGACGTTGTCGTGATCTCTTTCTTTGGGCAGAACCTTTAGCAAGGGCATGCATATGTTCATGATCTCCGTCACAACTGGCTGTGAAGATGCTGCCTCTGGCACACACGGCGGCGGCATTGCCTCATCGACCGGAGGCTGCATCCAATCATCTACCGGAGGCTGCATCCAATCATCCACCGGAGGCTGCATCCAGTCATCTTCTGCTGGCTTCACCTGCATCTGAGACGAAGTCGGCTGCCGTCCCCTCCGGGATGGCTGCCTGTCTTCCAACTTTGGCTTCATCCAAGAAGTGTCAGGCTTCAACCTTTTCCGGGGCGGTTTCTCAGACGGCTGGGTTGCAGAATCTGACTCCTCCAAAGGACAAGTCATCCATGACTCCGACATGTTGGATTCAAGCACTTCTATACTAATTATGCCCAATTATGCCTCATCCATGATGTACAGATGTTTCGATCACTGGTGCATCAACGAATGCTCTCATGACACACAAGAAAGTCTCTCTGCCGCCAGCTGCGCCAACATTCAGCTCCAGCCTTTAGATTTCATTTCTTCTCAAACACAGTTGGCAGCACTGCATACCCTGATACTGAAAAAGATTGCAGAAGAAAAGGGTTGGAGTGTGTGGATGATATGATCCAACAGTACAGCTGCAAACAAGCTAAAACAATCTCGTTGCTCTGTTCCTCTCCAATTCCATTCTTTTCCATATGTGCACTCTGATGCCTCGAAACGTCAGCAGCAGTGGATCCACAGCTGCACTAATTAAGGCACACCGACGAAGTCCAAGCATTGAAAACTCACTCCAAATTTCGGCACCAATCGTCATCTGAGGCACTGGTGGGCTGAGGCTTCCGGTAGTGCAGCATCCATGCAGCCACCATAGCCTTGGCCATCTTCAGGGGGTATTCCCCCGAAGCTTTCAACACAGCCGCCTTCCCTGTGGTCTTCACAACTCCATGCGCATCCACCTTCCTTGTATGCAGCTTCTTGTGCTCCTTCTTGCACTTGCACGGAAAGTTTAAGTCACCCATCCAGCTTGCAGTGCCAACAAGCTTATAGGGTTTCTTCTCCTTCTCCCGAGCTGTAACGAAGCGACAGCGGCAGCAGATGGCGACAGTGACATGGGCGGCCATGTAAGACAAAGTGCGAGCGATGGGCTCATAACTCCAGAAATAATTAGCCTGGGGGTTCTCCAGGATGGGGAAAACCCCACGGACCCAGCTCAACAGAAACAGCAGAATGCTCAGTCGAGCCATGGAATTGCCCTGCTCCACTTTAAACCGCGTCTCGTCACCAGCTGGGTTGCTTTTCGAGCGGCCACTCTGGCTGTAGAGGTGACAGAAGCTGCCGCAATCACAAGCAATCCAGGCCATCCCACCAGGGCGGACACGTGCCACCATTCTTGTGGCACGTGTCGCACCTAAGTTGGTCAGAGCGTCGTTTAAGGGGTTCTCCAGGATGTCGTACTTCTCGGCTTTCAAGTCTCGCAAATGCATAGCAGTATAGATGTTACCAGCACCGGAAAAGATCTCGCATCCATCCAGTTCCGGTTGCACTCCATCTGCTATGCGCAGCATGTCCTCGAAGGTGAGCCCAGCACTGTGAATGTCTCTGCTCCATATGAGTGCCTGGCGCCGCATGTGATCCATCCCAAGAAGGATTGTAGGAGCTGGCTTGGGTGCTCAGAGGTTTCTGGGTCGCTGTGCTGTCTGGAGGGTCTTGTCTTAGAAAGGTCTCATGTTATCTGCAGATAGAATGTTGACTTCTCGACGATAATTGGAGCCTCTGAACATCCGGGTACACACATGTGGCATGCAACCATGCGGACAATAATACTTGGACACCATGATAAAGATGCACCCTGGCAGCTGACCCCATGTTGCCCGTTCAAAGTCTTGGATTGGCAAGGTAAGTCAGGTCTAAGACTTGCCTTGTGGGTACATGTGTGTTAGCACACATGCACAAGTCAGGATCTTGGCCTCCTGCAGTCCTCCCGATGGAAAACAAATAAAGCCAATATGTGCAAGACACGACGAAACATGAATCTGAGAGAGTACTATGAAGCATATTGTTGCCTGAACCAAAACCACAGGCATGGTATGGCTTACAACCTAGAATGAATGTCTCTCCTTCTTCCTTGATGGACTGCACAAAGCTTCGGATCACCCCTACCGATTTCTCGACTGTGTGGCCGAGCCGATGGCTTTATGATGTACAGCATTCAACCCATTATTTGCATGGAAACAAGCACACACCACTCAGACTCAGCCGAAGTGCCTGGAGAAATCTACACAAATGATGCTAAAGCATGCCGTATACACATGCTGGCCGACTTGTCCAATAATGCCAGTCGGATGTGTCAGACTGGCTCTGTCGCTGCCACACTCGCTCACACATCATTCCGAAACTTCCTCAGAAATGCATTGTGGGCATCGTCGAAGCTGAAACCCTCCGAGTTGATCTTCGCCTGCATGAAGAGCAGATAGACCTCCTGCATCTTCGGCCCCTTGATCCCTGCCTTCTTAACATCCTGGAAGCACTCCCGGATCGACAAGAAAAGGTCACGGCCCTGTTCGTTCATGGGCGGGCGCCGTCCAGCGAATGTCAGGGCTTCCCCTCTCTTGGCACGGGGCTTCTTGTCTTTGCCCCGATTTTTTCCTTCAGGTGTTGCTTCTTTGGCTTCAGGAAACAGCACCCGCTTAGTCGCAACGATCTTTGACTCTGTCTTGTCAGCCTTCTTCTTGCTCTTGGTGGCCGATTTGGCTTTGGCCTTGCTCTTGGGGTTCGCCTTCATGGGTGTGGCCTTTGGGGAGCTCTTCGGTGTCTTGCTGTGAGGGCTCGGGCTCGCCTTCATGGGTGTGGCCTTTGGGGAGCTCTTCGGTGTCTTGCTCTGAGGGCTCGGGTTCGCCTTCATGGGTGTGGCCTTTGGGGAGCTCTTCAGTGTCTTGCTCTGAGGGCTCGGGCTCGCCTTCATGGGTGTGGCATTGGCTGTTGGGGTCCTCTTCGGCGTCTTGCTTTTGGGGCCTGTGGGGCTTTTGCTCTTCGGGGTCTTGCTCTTGGGAGTCTTGATCACCGCTTTGCCTGCAGGACTTCCTTTCTTCGGGGTCAGAGACTTTGTGATCTTGGGAGTCTTCATCTCCGGCTTGACGTCAAAACCCTTCGTCTTCACAGGGCTCCGGAACATCGGCTCATCCAAGCTAAGCACACATGTGTGTGCACTTTGCTCAGTATCTTCAATGGCAGAAGATCCCACCCACAAAGCAGCCATTTGACGCTTGGAAGCACACAACACCACAGCAGCTCGAATCACAGATGGCTTTGCAAGAACAGGGATCTGACATGTTCATGAATCAGACTCGGCATTCTTGCTAATACTGCAGCACAACAGTGAAGCCAGCCATCCTGCATGCATCCGTTCGGTTCCGTTTCAATGCACGGGCTTCAGGCAGTAGTATGGCCATGCAGCATGGCGCGGAACATCTCATCTGGGCAACTCTTCACTGATGGAAGCAAAATGTCGGCACTGGCAGCCTGTTGTTGCAAAGACTTCCGGTCACCCATAGAAATTACCCAAGCAATTTTCTGAATCAGAACCCTGCTGCAACCAATGCCCGACCGGCCAATCAGTGAACCTGTTGTTGCCTGCTGTACCGGGCTGGCTTTCCTTCTGCTTGTGAAGTAGGCAACAATTGAACTGCAAGTGTCTGAGAGAGTTACTCTTCATGCAAACGGTCAGCCAGACAATGTCCAATGTCTACGAGAGGGGCAACCTGTACAACTTGCCAGCCTCTACTTTCATGTCATGTGTCAGGAAAATCCCAGGCTTCTGGGGAAATATTCCCTTGGAGCTGTCGGTCAAATTATACTTGAGCCTGTGAACAAGCTTCAAGTGTTGGCCCAGATCGGTCCCACTGAAAGACAGCAGACTGCCACCGTTGTTGGCCGATGGGGTTTGGTTTGCTGGCAAAGGCTTCTTCTCAAAGCAGCACTCCTTTGTCATGTTGATCTTGTAGCTGTCCTAGCATAGCGGGGCATTGCATGAAAGACACACTGAGGCATTGAACCCTGAATCCCCACCTCAGCGACGGTGATTTCATGACATGCCATACTTGGCTGGACGATGGCATGCTGCTCCAAGAACTTGAGGAAGCTCTTGATGGTGGTGAGGCCCTCTTCGAATGCCGGCACGTTGCCCAGCTCATGGAAATGGAATGCTTTCATGTCCGGGGAGTCAAACTTGTACTCCATGAGCCATGCGTTGTTGGCCTCCTGCCTCTTCTTCAAGACATCGTCCTTGATGTACTCACCCCAAAGCAGCAGCAAGGGCTTTTTGCAGCTGATGATGGTGCTTTTCTTGGCCAACAACCACAGCTGCTTCTTGGCATCGATGAGCAAATCCATGTCAGCTGCACTGATCTCCACCAGGGGCTTCTCCAACTGAGCCTTGGTTTCGGCGGCTGGGGCCAGGCCCAGCAATGCCTCCATTGGGTCGGATTCATCTGCCAGTGGAGCCATGCGCTTCTGGCCCTTGAATGGCACACCCGAGACATTGAACTCCTTGTCGTGCGCCGCCACCACTGCATCAAACTGAATCTTGCATGCATTGAAGCGGCCATCCGGCGAGTCTAGCCAAGCCTGCCGAAATGGCAGGGCAGCCTTCTGCCCTTCGCATTCAACCAGAGGCATGGTCATGACAAAGTCTTCCTCATTGTACTGCGGCGACTTCATGGCTGTGTAGATCTTGGGCGTGTAGCCGGGCAGAGTGAGGATCTTGTCATCCACCATCTTCTGCATGTAGTTCATGGTTCCCGAAATCAGCCACTGCTGCATCCCTCGGCGGTGGTCAGTCCCACTATCGTCTTTGGCCCAAACAATGCTGGCTAACTTACCCTGAGGCAACACAGACTTGGGCTGTGTGTTGAAGTGAAGCAGTGCCTTCGTGAGTGACAAATCATAGGGCAGTATGTCTACATAGACAGCCGGCTTTGCCAATGCTGATGTGGGCATCCCATGCCAGAGTCGTGGCAGGAGTTTGTGCCAAAGCTGCTGCCCTGACATACTCTGCTTGAGTCGCTGCGACTTCGACAAGCCGGATCCGGAGTGCAACATGGACGGATCGGGAACAATGTACTCGCTGGTGCTCAACAGGGGCACATCGGCAACCGTTGTCCGTACCCAGAGTGCCGAGGATGAGAATCCTGAAACAAGCTGCCCGGATTCCTCGACATCCGAAACGACCATGAAGAACTCATGAAACCCTCGGCGTCGGGAGTGGTTCGGGATGGAGGATTCGGCAAAAGTGAGAGTGCCCCGGCGAACGGACATGTGGAGCTCATCTGTGCGCAATTGGGTCTCGGCTGTGGCCACAGCCTCGTTCAGCTTCTTTTCCGAGTAAGCGGACCCCCACTCTGCACAATTGGGTGCAAACACAAGGCCACAAGTGAACTTTGGGTTGCCATTCACAAACTCGGACACAGCAGTGCCAATCTGGACAATGTACTTACTGAAGGCCGAGCCCAGCTTCGTGAGGTCACAGACCATGACTTGGAACAGGTCTGGTGCCACAGAGAACTTGTGCACAGCTGACTGCACAGTGGTACTCAGGAACCCGGGATTGTCAAGAAAGTACACAGGAGTTGAACCATCCACCAGCTCCTTCGTGGCCTTTTCCAAGTCATCCTTCTCCCGGAGCAGGAAAGTTGTTCGGTCCGCACTGTTCTTCGTAGTCCATTGTTTCATGGCATCCAAGTACTCCCGCCACAAGTGCTCTTCCTGGGCGAGCCGTGCTGTAACCGCCTTCAGGCGAGCTTGCTCAAGTTCCGACTCTGCCGCGGCCGCCACCACTTGCAGTGACTGCACATTGGTGTTCGTACCCATGAGCACACTAATGAACCGGAAGTCCTTTGCCACGATCTTTGCATCACATGTTCTGCATTTCTCCGTCATTTCTCGGTCGAATTGCCCACGCAGAAACTGTGTCTCAGCCTTTGCGAAGACAGTGGGGCCCAACATCTTTTCGAAGTCAGTGGCAAAGTGACACCACAGGCAGCACATGTCATACCCGATCTGTGGGTTCGGATCACGAAGTTTTGGCGCTCGGAAGGCAAGGTTGATGGACTTCTTGGCAGTGTTCATTGCTTCCTTGAGGGATCGCAGGAAGATTGCAATTTGCCTCATGAGGAATGTGAGGTTCTTCAGTGCACTGCAAGTGAGTATCAACTTCCATTCTGACCCGATGGACATGTCTGCCGGCAATGCCCTGTCCGTCCACTTCACAAGTGTCCTCAGTGGGATGGCACTCTCCGTTGCCTTGAAGGCGTCCCAATGCTGGCTCAGCACCGAGAGGTAGCGCTTGTCTTGCAAAGGGAGTAACTTGAGCATTTGTCGCTCGGCGTCAGAGATTCTACCCGAATCCACAGAGGATCGCCGATTGAAGTCAGCGATCTTGGAATCGATCACTGCCGAATAGACGAGGCCTTGCTTGGCAACACTGAGCGAGAAGCTGTGGAAGAGCTGGATGATATCAGGTCGTGTTGATTCTGCTACAACCATCTTGCTGAGAATGCTCCTTTGCAGCAAGTCTTCGTCCGACGAGTACGATTCGAACGTGCACTTGATGTAGAGGCACGACTTGATCAAGGGCACAAACTCGACGAATTCAGCATCCGACAAGCCTGCCTGTTCGATGAGTGCCAGGACACACTTCGTGGCCACACTCCTTGTCATGCCGACGGCATGAGAAACAGTGAACTTCTCAATCGGGTCCCCAACCACACATGTGCTTGGAAAATACACACTGAGAGGATACTTGGCACTTTGGAAAACTCCATCCAGGAAATTACGAACAGTCTCGAGAATGTTGATGGCCTTTGGCTTTCCACGGAGAGCGGATGCCTCCCCAAAGCCGAGGAACCACGTAGGCAGAAGCAGGTCCAGGACTTCTCCCGGAGCAATGCCAGGAGGGTACACATCTTGATGAGCAGGAGGACGCCAGCCACCGGACCCAGCCAAGACATTCTGCACACGAAGTTGCTGCTCCTCCAGCATGCTCGCCATGTCTGGGAGAGATGCCAGCCAATCCATTGGATGCAAGCAAGTGTTTGCATCCTCGATGTCGGCTACAGCGAAGAGCTTCTTCATGACATGTTCCACCTTGCTTCTTGTAGCTGTGGACACCATGGTCCTTGGAATCTCTAGCATTAACCCAGTAAATCGACCAGAACTTTGCCGTTGCATTTACATTCCGAACTGTGTTTGTTACAGGCCCTGTAGCCAACATTGCTTGGTTCACGCGAGGACGGGCCAACAAACAAACGCCACAGCACTTGCTGCCGTATGTAAGTTGGGCCTCTATAACGTAGACTGACCTATGTTGGCCCTGGGGGGTGCAGGCAACTCAACGTTGCCCGCAAATGCTGGCAACGTGTTCTGTTGGATTTGTGTGGTCTGACACCTGCTGCCCCTGATGATCCTCAAGCTTTGGTGGCTACGGGGGGTGTAGCCACCAAAGTTCTAGTGTCATTACCTGGCCTGGGCTGCCGCTAATGCAATTCGAGACCTTTGGTGGCTACACCCCCCAAAGCCACCAAAGGTCCAGACTCATTATCTGGCCCAGGCCCTGCTAATGACTCTGGGCCTTTGGTCGCTACGGGGGGTGTAGCCACCAAAGGTCCCGACTGCATTAAGACACCGAGCACAAATGACGTCATTTGCGGGCCGCGGGGCACCCTAATGACGTCATTAGGGCAGGCCCCCCCCCCTAATGACGTCATTAGTGGCCCGACCCCCCGCTAATGACGTCAGTAGCGGCCCGACCCCCCACTAATGACATCATTAGTGGCCCGACCCCCCACTAATGACATCATTAGTGGCCCGACCCCCCACTAATGACGTCATTAACGGCCCGACCCCCCGCTAATGACGTCATTAACGGCCCGACCCCCCGCTAATGACGTCATTAACGGCCCGACCCCTCACTAATGACGTCATTACCGGCCCCACCCCTCACTAATGCCGTCATTACCGGCCCGACCGTCCCCCCTCCTGGCCCTGGCGGTGGGTTTGGAGAGTGCTGCTGGGTTTGGCTACAAAACTGCAGAATGTTCAGGCATGTAGCACAACATCTTCTTTGTGTTGGCTCCTCATGCTGCTGCCAGTCGGGCACTGGGTTTCGAGAGTGCTGCTGGGTTTAGGTACAAAACTGCAGAATGTTTTGGCATGTAGCACAATATCTTGTTTGCAATGGGTCGTGATGCTGCTGCCAGCCGGGCGGCGGGTTTCGAGAGTGCTGCTGGGTTTGGGTGTTCGCCTCTTGTGACGAACCGGGGAACATCGAATTATGATGTCCACACTCTCCAGTTTTAGTGCTCATCCATGAGGGTCATGCTGGAGCCCTCCGGTCCGGATGGATCTCTGCATGTGGGTCTTTAGTGTGTTCGACAGATACATAGTATGCCTTTTTTTTGGGGGGTAGCATCCGCTGCACATGATGAGCCTGTCACATGGCCAATTGGTTTCGAAAACTGTTTTGCTGCAAGACGGTGGGGGGATTCAATATTGACAACCTCAAGTCAGAACAACCCGCCCGGAGTGTAATGGTGCACAGCACCAAGCCTTTGTTGCAGAGGAAGGAGAATAATGAATGCAATGTGCTATCCCTTATGTCGGCACTGCAACAGGGAGTCTTGTTAACCAGATAGGACACCCCCAATTCCAAGCAAGTCCATTGTGAAGTCAATAATAGACTATCCCACAGCCCCAAGCCCAACTGAGGCCAATTGGTTCTAAGTGCCCAAATTCAAAGGCGGGAAGGGGCCGCTCCGGGGCTATTTACTTCATCTGGCAGAGAAACACTCCAGCACAAGCCTTTTTGTTCTTACGATTCATGTGAAAAAGGCAGCCCGGAGACCCAAAGCCAACAGAAATGCAGAACACAACATAATAAAAAAGTGGCTCTCTCTCACTGTCTCTCTCTCTCTCTCTCTCTCTCTCTTGCTCGTTTTCTGTCTCTCTCTCTCTCTCTCTCTCTCTGTCTGTCTGTCTCTCTCTCTCTCTCTCTCTCTCTCTCTCTCTCTCTCTCTCTCTCTCTCTCTCTCTCTCTCTCTCTATATGACTCTATATATATATATATATATATACACACATTGCCCATGCAGAGTGAGCCAAAGGGCCCCATTTTTCCAGTGGTTCTTTTCATTCATGCTTTGATTGAGGCCTTGCAAATGTCTCGGGTTTAGCTTGCTGCAGGAGAAGCCTAACACAGTGACAGTGGTAGTGACTCAAGAAAAGTAGAGTCAAGCTAAGTATGTCCTCAGGAGTGTTCTTTCAAGTAGTGGGGCCACACATGAGGGCATGACTTTCGTGTCCGGGCCATCAACTTTGAAACTGTGAGGTTTGCCAGACTTTTTGCTAGCTTTCGACAGAATTTGCCATACAACAACACTAAAACCTTGGACTACCTTGCCCACACCCCAGCTGCCCTGTTCAATAGTAATTTGATTGAAAATAATCTGGCCGTGCCCAAGAATCCGGAGAACCCACGAAACTGGAAGCAGTGTTATCTTTATCTTGCTCTGGTCAGAATTCAGAAGCCTTCAAATCTGGATAAGAACGATTGCTCTCGCATGTCTTTGTTGGAGAACATTCTCAATCGATATTATTGGGCTCCTGGATTAAATAAAAGCTCTGTAATACTTAACCCGCTCATCATGGCAGCAGCATGAGATCCGACACAAAGAATATATAATATATTACACTGCATGCCTGAACATTCTGCAGTTTTATGGCTGGGAGGATGGTCTGTTCCAGGAAACCAGTTCAAAACCAAATGGACCTACTCCCCGCACCGATCCTTCTTCCCATTTCCATCCCCCACAAAACAATGCTACTGTTTTCTGGGCTGGTGTTGGATTGTGTGTGTGTGTGTGTGTGTGTGTGTGTGTGTGTGTGTGTAGCATTTCTTCGTGCCGAATGCCGACCCCCTGCCCCCAAGCCTTTTTCCGCCCCCGAGCCCCCCCCAAGGCACACGGGAGTGTCGTGAAAATGAATTGTTGGTCCTAGAAATCATGCTGCATTTTTTGGCATGGTTGTGGTGGGGTGGGTTCGGTCGAGAGATACACAGAACCGGACCATCAAGACCGGGTGTTGGCCGTTGAAGAGCCCTGTGTTGTGTTGCTACATGCCACCCTTCAGGAAGTGCTGCTTTTCAGAAAGAAGAAGTTCAGTGAAGACCATCCGAGCACCCCCATCCCCGAAGAATTTTTTCACCCTCTCCACCGCCCCTCCCCCTGAATTCCGCTGCAAGCACAAAGCAAATGCCCTAATCCTAACCCCCCGCCCCCACCCATGCAGGAGTGTCTCAGTCTCGTGTCCTGCAAAAATGGTCTGCCCTGGGAGTCATGGGCTATTTGCTGCCACTCTGGTGGGGTGCTAGCTTCGGTTCAGGGTGTCCAAGTCTTAGTAGAATGTTTGCTTGCTCATCCTGCCATGTCTGACAGACAAGATGAAGGGCTTGGCCTGAGGCTTTTGTGAGATTCACGATGTGGGAGCACTGAACATCATGTAGCCGAAGCTACACATCTAGGCAGAACTGATCATTGAGCCGAGGCTTACTTAGGTAAGTAAGTATCGTTGCTTTCCTTGCAGAAATTGGTACCAATGTCGGCAAGGAATCCTGTTCTTTCCAGAATCAAGCTGGGCCAAAGAGTACTGAACATCTTTAGCTAAGAATCATTGTTTTCCTTGCAGAAATTGGTACCAATTTCTGCAAGGAATCCTCTTCTTTCCAGAATGCAGCTGGGCCCTCACTCTGGCTCATCACACTAGTCGCAGGAGCACTTGGCACCAGTGTTGCTGATGCAATCCTATGTACATATTCGGTGCACTCCAGAGGACTTAGTTCCATACTCGGCGGCAGTCCACAGGACCTAGTTCGATGGCTTATCTCTGGCTGAATGCTAAAGACAGGTGTGCAGCCGCTTTCCGACCCTACTACCCTGCCTCTGTACTGAGAATGATGGTTTTACTTGCATTTCTCTGACATCTCAAGGCAATCGACTTGCATCGACTAGCAGATTCCGGACTTTGCACTGAGCGCTCTTGGAGGCCTACCCTAGAAGAACTTGGAGGGCTTTGGGGGGAGGGTATTCAAGGTCTCATAATGTCACGAGGCCCGGGCTTGACTGCACATGGGTGGAGTCAGCTGAGCAATAACGGCTTGTGCAGGCTTCCACTTCGGTTGCTGGCAAGTGAAGATTCTCCGGGGATGCCGTTAATGAACACAGATGCTTCTGGACTATGAAGGGGCAACGAGGCTCCTGCTCCAAGGAGCACCGACAATGTAAGAAGGAAACCGATGATGTTCACGCAAACTTGCCACTCCTACATGCCAAATCCATGCCAGTCAAGCAAACGATGTGCAGCTGCAGTCATGTCACAGCCAGAGTCACAATGGAGAACCTGCTTGATTGCCTGTGGCAGGGCGGCTTGGTGTCCGGGGTGGCTGTGTTGGGTGCTCAGAGGTTTCTGGGTCGCTGTGCTGTCTGGAGGGTCTTGTCTTAGAAAGGTCTGATGTTATCTGCAGATAGAATGTTGACTTCTGGGTCTGACTGTTGTATGTTGCATGGATGCCTGTCAGTTTAGGACAATGTGATATTGTCATAGTTGTAACAGCAGTTTGTTTTCAAGTTCTAATGTCTCGATTGGGGACAGCTGCTTGGGTTCCCTGTCCAGGCCGGCTATGTAAACGATGCTGACGACTCATCTGGAAACACATGTGCATGTGAGAACCTAGGACCTAGGAAAAAACACATATCACTGTGCAGCTTGTGCTAGATTTCTTCAGCCGGTGCAAGATGTAAGTGCCACAATCCGAATCCCATTGCAGCACAAGTGGGTTACCTCTCAATGTCAAGCGATCCGAATGTCGACAGAAGCCCCAGAGGTTTCAAACGCTTCAGCTGGGGAAGTAGACCCTGCATGAAACGTCGAAGATGCTAGGGGCTGATGCTGGGACTTCATGTATTATCTATACAGATCTGATGTCTTTGCTCTCGGCAAAGCCTGGCTGCTCGGTGGCCAGAAGACCTGCCACAGTGTGGATGCTGGCACATGTCGTGCAGGAGCACTCATGCAGAAAGACACACTGTTCAAGCATTCCCTCTTGGAAGTAGTGTCGACAG